GAAAACAAAGCAAAACCAGCTAACTGGTGAAGGATAACCCTAATTTATTAATGAACGAACCACTATCCTAGTCCGTACATACACGGATCGCGACCCTTACAATTTCACGAATAAACCACTTCCTTAACCACTCCTTCAACAACAACCATACTCCGCTTACGAACCAACCATCTAAACCACAACCCCATGAATAAACTAAATCCCTAACTATTCCTTAAACTTGTACAAACTACAATTCCACCAATACCTTAATCCGCTTACGAACCAACCATCTAAACCACAACCCGACGAATAAACTAAATCCCTAACTATTCCTTAAACTTAAACTTGTACAAACTACAATTCCACCAATAAACTATAACTCTCTAACCCGACAACCACAACCCACAAATAAACTACAACCCTAACCTTCCGCAAACAAACCACAACCAATAAACCGCAGCCCTAACTACCCCGCGTACTAGCCAAAACCCGTTACAAACTCAGGAAACGGAGCCATTTCTCAGCACCAAATCTCATAGCCAGCCCCTCCTTGGCCCAGCGTGTATTGTTAATCCTCCCATGTCCAGCCTTTTGTGACCCGGGCCCTGGCCTATTGTCAGACAGCAACAGTAACGACCTGCGGACAGTTGAAGGACACACGTATAGCCCCGTCTATTGTGTTGACCATACGGCCCATGACAGCGTGAAGCCGGGACGACAGACAGATGTTCCTGGGTTCAAATCTCTTCAGCTGCAGTAAAAAAAATAGCGGGCGAATTCAACTACATCTTGACCCTTAACCCGTCCTCATTGCTTTTGTAGAAGTTTGATTTAAAACTTCTAAAAGATTACAAATGAAACATTTTCTTGGCACCCCCTAGTTCCGCCTTGATTTTCAAATCCGCGTAATAATTGCCAATTTTTTTTTTTGTCTTTTTTTTTTTTGTTCAACGTTCTTTTAAATGTAATTAACTTACATTATTATCTGACTAGCTCAGCAAAAATAGATAATGAGTTAATAATACGAGCTCTTCGATACTGCTATCCTGGGCTAACAACGCGTCCCCCCCCCCCTCCTGATAAAAATCTACCATCACCCTTTTAGTTTAGTAGAGTCTTCATTTTATAATTTCTTGATGGCAGAAGATAAAATTGTTTAGATACCACTTTTAACTTTACCAGCCGACATTTATTGGCAGCCATATACACATTAACTATCTCATTACCAGGTCCCCAGCCCCACCCCACGTACGTTGTTTTATCAAACCCGTTATGAAGAGTCCCTAACGAGACTGGGTTGATGTGCCGGGGTGTCGGTGGGTCGCGGTGTAGTGTGGGTCGGGGTGCCGGTGGGTCGCGGTGAAGTGTGGGTCGGGGTGCCGGTGGGTCGCGGTGTAGTGTGGGTCGGGGTGCCGGTGGGTCGCGGTGGAGTGTGGACAAAGTTAATTTAGTAGCGCCAGAGAGTGAGTTTGTTGACCATCTACCTGGCTTATCTTGTGTACACTCACACGGTAAAATTTATAAAAGACAGGTGAGAGTCGCAGGCCTAATAGATCAAACGTTAAGGTAGACGTTGAGTTCGATAGATCAAACGCTTCTGTTTTAAGTAGAAAATATAGCCTCAAGTTGGCACTTCAGAGTGTTGCGTGAAAATTGCGCGTATTAGACTTGTAGGGTTGAAAGTAGAAAAACAGAGCAAGAATAGAAACAAATAAAATTAGTTTCCTGTATTTAAATTGCAGCATAAAATCAATAACTAGCATACTTCTAAGAACCAAAAAATAATTGATTGATTTAAGCGTAAAACTTAAAACTTCCAAACGGGGACACATATTTGTTTGTATATTATACGATACATTACAAAATTTCCATTTCGTCCGTAAGCCCCCCCCCCCTCCCCCCCACCCACCTCAAGAGAGCCTGAAACTCAGCCTCTGCTAGCGAAACCAACCCATTATTGAAAATTTGGGGTGCGGGCTGCGCTACAGATAATATAGAGAGCTGGTGATGGCAGCTTATCATTAGATATCATTTAGCTTTTTAATTTTCATTTGTTTTGTGTTTATTCTTGGTGGAGACATATATATATATATATATATATATATATATATATATATATATATATATATATATATATATATATATATATATATATATATATATATATATATATATATATATTATATAATATACTTTTTAAATAGGCCCTAGTATACATAAAACGATACGAGCGCACCGTCGCCTATAAATCCGCCCCCCCCCCCCTTACACACACACACCACAACACCCTCTGCCCAGAGGCGTAGCGACCCTTCCCGGCGCCCGGGGCGAACTTTCAATTTGGCGCCCCCCCCCCCCCGCTTATATATATATATATATATATATATATATATATATATATATATTATATATATATACATGTGTGTGTGTATAATTATGTGTGTGTGATAGTGTGTTTATATATAAGCTTGTGTGTGGGTAAGAGTGTATTTTTGTGTGTAAGCGTGTGTGTAAGCGTGTATGCTACAGTCCGGACAAGGTTTAATAATTACATTGTATGATTTTCATTCCTTAAAACTTTATGACAATTTAATTTCCCATTAAGATGCGTTTAATTTTTTAGTAATGTCAGTAAAAAAAAAATAAGCCTGATCTGTGTTAGAGGGTAGTTTGTAGCTAACGCTAATATGTTTAGACCAGCCTTTTATGTTCTAGTTTTGGAACGATCTCTGTTGTGATATGGTACATAGTTGGATTCGAAGTTTGTTAGAGTAAGGACACACAAGTGACATACAAGAAGAAGTTATCAGAAATATTTTTGTTCACATTGGAATACGACATGGGTATTTCGTTGATTGGTTGATGGTATGACAAAAAAAGCTAGAGAAAACAAACTGGAATCCAACGGATGTTAACAGCTCGTAGTCTTAGATTTCGCAGATTTGCCCTGCCTTCTCGCACACAGAGTTTCTTCCAGGCATCTTTTGGGGGGGGGGGGGGGGGGCGAAGCCCCCCGAAAATTTTTTTACCGCCCCCCCCCCCCTCGAACGAAATGAAATTTATATAATTTATATATAGAAAATATATACGTTTAACAGTGTCCACCCCCCCCCCCCCCGAAGAAAGTCTACCGCCCCCCCCCCCCCCATCGAAAATTTCAAGTGCCCCCCCCCCCCGGAGAAAAAAGTCTGGAAGAAACACTGCTCGCACAACGTCAACAACAAATGCAGAACTAATTGTATTGATTGAAGAAGCAGTAACAATCAATTTAATGATAGCCCATGACGTTCTGATTATAATCAGCAGCAATAAAACGCGTTTTAACACTCTAAGAAAATGTAGAATTCAAATGCATTGTCAAAAAAATTCAATCAGGATCTATAACTAAATGTGGTCTCTTTTACTGTATGGCTTGGAGCTAGATTACAGACAGTGGAGAATGAAATAAGAGCATAGAAAAAAAGTGGTGGTTAGTGGCTTAGGGATTCAAGAATCCGTGATATTTAGTTCTCTTTAATATAGTTCAGTGATCCAGGTAAGATGTAATGCAATCAATCAAAAGTATCTGATCTCTCACGTTGAAGTTGAGAGAATCGTAAGAATCTTACAAAAAACTAGTCGCGTTTTTAAACAAAACTGGCTATTGAAATTGTACATTACGCGTTAATAGGCCCTACACTTGGTTTCTTTACTAAGTGTTAAGAGAGTTATCTACTCACCAATCCAGTACAAATACTTGCGATTTTTGTTAGCGAAAAAAGCGCCCCCCACACACACTCATCACAACCATCTTGGACAAAGTTTGTAGAGCGGTTTTTAACGTAACTAACTTTTTTTAAAATGTTACACAATTATACAATGCACAGTACAATTCGTTTCTTTCTGAGAGCTAAAGGTTGTTTACTCAGAATCCTGTGTAATTTTACTATTTTATTTAGCCCAAAAGCGCCCCCCCCCCCTGCACTATCTTGATAAAAGTCACTAACGTATTTTACAGTTCAACAATCGTACAATACGTTTTAATACAATTGGTTTCTTTTAATAGCGGTAACGTTTATCGACTCAACAATCTAGTGTAAATTCTTCCGTTTTAAGTCTCAAAAAAGCGCCCCCCCCCATCTAGGAAAAGCTTCAAAGCGGTTTTGCCGGTCACTGTTTCTTAAGAGTATATGTTTTACATTAAGAAATCAAGGTAGAAAACAGTTAAATCAGTATGTAAAGGCGTGTAGCCATTACATTTCTTAACTTAGACAGTTTATAATTCAAAACTGCAGCATAAAATCAGCTTTAAAAAAATTTTCCCACCCCTTTTGGCGCCCCCATAGGGTCGGCGCCCGGGGCGGCCGCCCCCCCCCCCCGCCCCCCCCCCCCCCTAGCTACGCCTCTGCCTCTGCCTATGGCAACGACTCGGGATATATTGTAGGCTACAATTATAACAGACATAATGAATTGGCAAAGCAGGAACTTGATATGCATCTTGTCTTTCACTTGTATTTCTCCGCCCCTCTCTGTGTTTTATCGCCCCACTCTACCACAAGCTTGCCCCACATGTAACACGGGCCCTTACCCATCTGCTAATGTGCAATCCAATTTTTTTTTTAGAATTAATAAACGAAACATACATAAATAAAAGTGATATAAAATATATAAAATAATATATCATCAAATTAGCGTTGAATTATTTTAAAATAACAATGAAGGTGTCTGTTGTGGAGTTGGAAAGGATGGGGGGGGGGGGGGGGGGGGGGAAGGCGACACGCTTGTTGTTTCACGAAGTCGTTAGGACTTGGGGGGGGGGGGGGAGGCGACACGCTTGTTGTTTCACGAAGTCGCGGTTAACATTAACAGTTGTCAACCAGCTAAAAATCACGGGCCTAGATCTCTCGTCATTTTTATTTTAAAAAGCACGGAGGTTTCATTTTAAAACAACTAGATTCTAGACGAAATAAACACATAGGTTTAACTAAAAACAAAACAGTGAGTCTTTGTATTAAAAAATTTCGGTAGTCTATTGAAATTACAAAAAAAAAAAAAACAACCTTAACATTTGACCCTGAACTAAGAGTAGGCTACTCTAAAACACATTTCTTCACTAAAGAACATAGAATCGAGAATCTACATCATTTGATTTCCTTATTTTCTAGCCATCAAAGAATCAGGAAACAACATTTCAAAGAAGGTTAATCAAAATCTAAATTCAGACCTAATTATTCCTTTTTTAAAAGTAAGTGCGTAAAGTGTAAAACAATCAACTGTATACTAGTGTATACCAATGTTTTTTTGTAGAATGAAAAAGTAGTCTAAATAAATAACTTTAATTCTAGAGATAGTTTACTATTTTACTATTACTACCTATTACTAATAACTAAGGCCTGTAACTGTAACGCCTGTAAGTGGCTGTATGTAAGGCTTTTAAGGCCCGGCCATCAGACGACGCATCACAAAAATACAAAACTTATCACCTGTTAATTCAAAATAAAATTAAAATCATTTTGCAAAAAGCCTAACCGCTATTTTAATCATTTAGTTTACTAGATTCTAGATCTACATATTTACATTTAGATCTAGTAGGCCTACCTAATTTTAATGCTGTTAAATGACAAATGTTAATATTTAAAATAGTGAAGGGGGGGGGGCTAAAGAGTAAATACAAGGCAAGGATTTTTTAGGCCTATTTATTTAAATTTGTTAGGCCTAACTTGAGTATTTTAATGTATTAGGCCCTAAGTTAAGTATTAATTATTAAAGGCTATAGATATCTAGATCTAAATGCTTATTAAGTTATCAGGCTATAAATTATAAGCCTAATAACTAGATCTAGTCTAGTTTTATAGTGAGATGAATAATAAATATTAAATAGGCTACAATCTAAATGTAACTATACAAAAGAATATAGGCCTAGATCCAGGGGCGGAACTACCATACCGCCAGACCCCGCAATGCGGGGGGGCCCAGGACGTTTAGGGGCCCAGTTCCGACCAAAAAAACAATGAATTTTTTTTTCAAAAATTATGTTTTTCAAGCATCTTGAAAGTGGTTTTGTTAAAAAAAAAAAAAAAAAACAAAAAAAAACAGGTCTACAATAGCAGAGATTGTTGCGTAGAAAAATATTTTAAAATCTACAAGAGCTATAGTTTGAAAGGTAGGAAAACATTCACACTACTTTCATGACTTACCGCCCTTCTTTAAAATAGGGATGCCCACGAAGCTCATTTAAATAGTTTTGTACTATGTATATTAAAAAGCAATTGATTCTCTGAATTATTATCTAAATAAGACGTACTAAACATTGGTATAGCTATAAAAATCAATGTTTTCAAAATTGATATTATAAAAGCCAAAAATGAAAAAAATAAACATAACGCGAGAAACCATTCACGAATCAAGCTTAGGTCTTTATATATTTTTGACCAGCTTTGTTAGTAGTGGTAGTGACAATATCTAACCCAAGATGAGTTTGGACTAAATTTATCTGGTTTGTTCTCTCTGAATGGTTATATATTGCATTGAAGTAGACTAAATTACTCAGGATATAGATTATTATATATATATACATATATATATATATATATATATATATATATATATATATATATATATAGGGGGCCCTAATTTTTTCTTTGCGGGGGAGCCTTTTTTTTCTAGTTCCGCCACTGCCTAGATCTATTTATATTCAAGGTCTAGTTATACTAGCTAGGCCAATGCAAAAATTTAATTTCAGTAAAACATTATAATAGTTACATATTTGGATAGGGGCTGTCAATCTGATTACAGATCAGTTTGAATTTTCAAAATCTGACCATAAACAAAAAAGTTATGAATTTTTTTGTCATTAAAAAACAGCAGTTTTTTCAGACAACCGGGGTAGACCCTGAAAGAGGAAAAATACTGGGAGGGTATGGACCAAATTTTTAAGAGTTTTTCACTAAAAGTGGTATAAAAGTAAGCAGACTTCACCAATTGATGTCATTTTATGATGTTTTGTAGATTTTTGTATGCCGAATCCAATGATGCTATTTTAAAAAGTGTCTTTTGATTACATAACAGACTTATTTCATGGATTATGTAATACCCCCCCCCTTCAATTTTTTTTACAACATCTGATAATCCGTGTGATAAGAAGTCATTCTTTAAATTAAACACTGTTTTAAACCATAATATGAGATTTGTATATGCTGAAGCTAATGGTGATATTTAAAATGGTCGAACATTATTACAAAACTATAAAGGTCAGGTTATGTAATTCACACCTTTTGCTCATAATTTACCATGTATTTATTTTAAAATCTCTTTTGCTCATTGTCAGTTAACTTAAGTGAATAGCCTACTTAAAGAAAAGATAACTAATACAGTTTTAATACAAAGAGAAGGATGCTATAACAATAGTATATTTGTGATGATGTAACTTCTTAAAATATGTTATGTAATCTATGTGCAATCGAACAGGCCTACTCTATTCCAAAAATATTTTATTATATTTATATTTCTTGTTACTTTAAATGTCATACCATTGATACAGCTTTCTTCTATAGAATTAGCCTAGTTACAAATGTGTCTTATCAGAATCAGTGTGCTTTATGACAATTTTGTAATATTTTTAAACAAAAAAAAAATGCTCATTTTTAACCATTCTAATAACATAAACATTGGAGGAAAATTGTTTTTTTTTATAGCTTGTACAAGGTAGTGTAAGTTATAGGTAGGTCTATAACAGATTTATATATGCTCAATGTTTATGCTAGTAGTAGGCTTGTGTATTTTGTAGGCCTATTACATTGGGAAAAAAAGCACGTGTTTGAGTGCTTGACTGTGTGTAGTAGATGCTAGGCATTTTTTAAGTTTCCTGTGTCTGCCTAAACACGGAGGCGTTTATCACCATCAGCATTTGCCTAGATTTAGTTCAATCAGACGTGGGTAACCAGGTCTTCTGACCAACCAATTTTATTGCCGTATTACGTAAACACGAGGCTAGATAGGCTAGTCGGCCAACCCGATGAACGTGTCAGACGAATATTATGTAATTTTAGAGACAAAAGTCTGGGAAGATTTCCTGAACTATGCCCGAGGGTTAGTAACATCAACTCCACAAAGTGAAGGGGGAGGGAGGTGGGGTATGAAACCACCGCGAGCCGCTCGGGTACCGTATGGGTGTTATACAACATCAAAGGCGCCGACCCTCGGCTTGTCGCGTCACGGAGTAGTGGGGGCGGGGTGAGGCTATGGGTGTTACATACGGTGTTACAATAGTTACAAACCGTGTAGGATGGTCAGTGACTCCCCATACCCACCCCATCCCATTTTGGTCGATTTGGCAAGCTAGTAACCTCCACGTTGTTAAGGGTTTTAAAAATTTTTAGTCAACCGAAATTTATTTTTTAAAGCCATTTTTACGAAAAAGTAATGTACACAATAATGAAACGTTACGGCACGCGAATCACGTCAGCATTGTTTGGTCGGGTCCCAGCTATCCGGATTAATTTCTAAAGAAGGTTAATTTTGACGATTAGTAAATACTATTACGACTTTTTTTTTTGCCGTTTCAATGGTTTAAAACAAAGTTATGAAACATGCCTGTCTCCTTAAATATAAAATAGCAATACCCGACGAGTCAAATACGGGAACACACGTATCTATTTTTAGAAATTGTTTATAGTCTCATCCAATCGGATCAACCTCCTAGCGTCACGTGACCACACACTCGGCTGTGCTACACGATGTGTAGATCACGATTCAGTCGGACGGCGGCCGACGCGTTAATTTTTATTTTCGTTCCGTCTTAAAATGTATGGACGGCTTTATTATGAGGTGTTATAATACATGTCATACATTAAAATAATCGGCGGGATTTCAGGAATACAACTCAAGGTTCAAATGTAAAATAGGTCAAATAATAGACCGGGAAACTTAGTTCAACTTTGCGGTCCGATATCTCCCGAAGTATTTAACTTATTTTGACCACGAACCTTGAGCGTTGTTCGTCTACATTTAATTTGTTCGTCTGCCTAATTTGATTGTTGTAGTACGTAAACTCGATACGTCTATAAAAAAAATTGTAGCGCGTCATATTTAAAACACAGCGATTCGAAGCACAGCCGAGCGGTTCAGTCGGACAGCGGTCGGCGCGTCATGTTTTGATTTTCGGTCCACTTCAAAGTCTATAGACGTCCTTATTATAGGGCCTAATATGACATATCATACATATTAATAAACGTCGAGATTTCAGGAATACAGCTCAAGGTTCAAATTAAAAATCGGTTCATTAATAGCCCAAATAACTTAGTTCAACTTTGCCGTTCGATATCTCCAAAAGTATTTAACATATTTTCCCCAAGAACCTTGAGCGTTATACGTGAACATTTAATCTATTCTTCTACCAAGTTTCACTGTTGTAGTACGAAAACTCAAAGAGTCTATAGACTCTAAGTAACACCCCTCTTTTAAAAAGGTGAAAAAGCCTCCCCCCTAATCGGCACGTCGCCGCGGGGGGTAAAAAATGCGATTAAATCGGCGATTTCTTCAACGTCTGAAATAATAAAGAAATCAAACTTATACAGTTAAAAAGGTTGTTCAATTACGAACAGAATGATGTATAACATGTTAACATAAACACAATAAAAGCATGCAAAAAACAGAGTTAAACATGCAGGGGGTAGGGAAAAGCCGATTTGTCCGATTTTCTCGGCAGCGGCATTGGCCTAGCTAGTTATACTATAAATAGAAAAATAATTAGGCCCATATTATTCTAAATATATTTTAAAAGATAACAATGTCGGCAATGTCAATAAATGGATAAATGTTTATTTAATTATTAAACTAACAGGAGGTCTTTACATAATACTGAATTTCTAAAAAGAGACTACTTACATTTGCCAATATAGTAGGCCTATCCTATTGTAATTGTTACATAGTAGGCTATATTTTATACAAGTTTAATAACAACGAGCCGACCCGCGGCATATCAATATCATACGCCGCCATTTAGTTGTTTAATTTTCTACTTTTCAGTAATTCATAATTTGTGAATTCGACAGTACCAATGCTGACACTGAAAATATTTGCTTTAAAACACTATCAGTAGGTCGTTAAGAACGATACTACCCCCACCCTCCTTTCCCCCAACCCCTACCCTACACCCCCCCGTGAAAGCAGCCTCCTCTTAGTTACCTCCCCTAAGTTTAAAATCGTTTAAAAGCGTGAAGCACAGCTCACCAGACCATGTAGGGGTGGGGTGGTAGGGAGCGTGCTTACAGCTTGATTTCTAGTGTCTCCAAGAAGAGAATTATATACATAGATGCCTTTACTGACTGTATTACAAAAAAAAATGATGGATGATTATAGATACCGGTGTCCGATAATAGACTCTTCCATTAAATAGTTGTGTTGGGTTGTTAGTAGTATTGTAATCTCGACTAATTTTATGGTCAGAAATTAGGTTTAGGCGTATGGTAGGACCAGGGTTCGGGTTAGTGTTAGGGACAGGGTTAGCATTGACATTAGCCAGCCATGTGTGTATTTAGTTAACTACCAGTAACCTAACACCTCTTTTTTTTAAGAAAGATTTCATTATCGGACACTGGTGTATAAATTCTCCCGGTAAGGTTTAGGTTGTTATCAACAAGCCAATTCCAAGCATCAGTTTGCAGTAGTTCTTTTGTCTCAGATTTAACAAATTAAAATATATTTTGATTTACTATTCAGTTTACCTAAATCTTAATTCTCTGTGTGTATTAGAAGTAGATATTTTGCTTCTGTAATTTGATAGAACCATTATAAAAAACATATATGGGCCCAAAATAATTGCTGTATCTATGAATAATGAACAATTGAAACCAGGAAATATTTTAATAAATATTGAACACTAGGCTAATTACCTCTGATAATAAACAAAAATTATTATACAGATGATAAAAAAATTATTGTACTGAAGATTAGAGGTTAGGCCACCGAATGAAAGTCGGCAGTAGAGTGCAAAACAGGTTAAATAAAAAGGTTGGATAATCATTGCAGAATAACATAAATTAATATTGGGTGAAAAATGACTAAAGTGTGAAAAATTGCAGGTCAATAGGCCTATAATCATAACAAATCAAAAGGCCATAAAGTAGACCAGAGGTGTAGCGAGGGGGGGGGGGGGTGGCGGGGGATGCGGACCGCCCCGGGTGACACCATTAAGGGGTGATACCAAGGCAAAAAATAGCAAAATATATAGAGAAAAATGATAATTCCACTTAATTAAGTGACTAATTCGAGTGTTAAATAGTCTTTTAAGAGGTACAAATCAAAAGTTTGAGGGGGGGGGGAGGGAGTGCAAATCAAAAGTTTAATGGGGGGTGCAAATCGAAAATTGAAAGGGTCGCTACGCCTCTGGGGGGGTGTCACCATTAAGTGCTGCACCGGGTGACACCCGAGCTTGCTACGCCACTGAAGTAGACAAACCTAAAGTAAGAAATAATAGTACACATCACTTCATTGTTACTTTCATATTTTAAACTGTGTTTCCTTCTCAGGAACTTCTGTATTTTGTTTGAAGCCTGCAACCCATCTGAAGCATGGATTCCTCAAATGAACAACCGATACCTTTGGAAAGAAAAAACAGTTCAGCTTCCTACATGTACAAGAGGTCTCCTAACAAAAGGTCAGTTGTTATAATTCTATTTCCATTGATATGTCATTTATATATTATAGTTATACAAAATTGGACTAAAAATTAAGCTTATCCTTGAAAAATATAATAAACTGGGTGTTAAAAATTGTGTTCATTCAATCTTCTTTTGTGTGTCTGTTACAGGATATTTGTAAACAGAAGTTTGATGCTAGAGAGAATTAATTTCTTTGGATTTGATATGGACTACACACTAGCTAGTAAGTGCTATAGTTTTACTGCTCAAGTTGACTACAGTTTCAACTTCACTATCTTAAAGAACCTTTTCTCCCCCGAGGTTTGATATAAGGTTATTGAAGTAGTGTTTGTGTTTCCCAGTCATTGGCATATGAAGATCATGTGGTTGTCACAGCCACATTCACTTAGCCAGACTTGATTCCCATACACATCACAGTGGGGTAGATTCAAAGTTTAGCTACATACTCGAGCTTGGGTCAGAGTGCAAGGCTTTTGGGTTGGAATTTGGGTGTTCTACTATTTTATCATTAGGCTGGATTATAGGGTTATGTAAATGGTAATGTTTCATAGGTTTGATGTTTCTGATGGTATAAATATAATGTCTGATATTGTAATCTACTAATGGGTACTGAGTGTAGGTGGCTGTAATGTGGGGAGAGGGAAGCTAGGAGGGAGGGGTAGGTGATCTCTAGAACAACTGAGTGATAATTCTTTAACTTTCTATAATAGTTTTAGAAAATGAAAAACACTGGATAGTGAAAACTTTGAAAAATTTTGTTCCTGACATTGGTTTTTGATCTACATTAATCCATCTAAACTACATAAATCGGATGTAAATTTATCTCGTCTCAATCCATCTGTTCAACAATGTAGTTTTCTGCCATGATCCATAGATCTGTAACTCATTAAGCTTATTATTATTTTAACCAGATTAACTCCACAATGTCCATGAACAAACAATACATCAGCTCCACACCAGCAGGAGTTTATCACTGAAAACATTTGCTCTTTATTTATACCAAGTCAGGGAGTTCCTATCTCCACATCTACAGCTGAGCTCATATAGTGGACAACTTCTAATTTATTTAATAAACTCATGTTGGTAGATCATATGTGATAGGTATCACAATAGGAAAAAAAGGGGTGGATGATCCAATGTCGATAAAACATGTTAGATAATACCTTCAAAAAATTTTTTACAATCCAATGTCATCTATTAAAAATATTACAAAAAACACCAAAAACAGTTTACACATGTGTTTTCTGGCAGCGCCCTTGAGGGTTGCACCCCCCCCCCCCCACACACATACATAAAATAAAGCCTGTGTTGTCAACAACAGAAAAAGTATGCATTAAAATTATCATAACCAAGATTTATATTAGCCAAGATAAAAACAGCAGCAATTGTATTGTGTTACTTATGTATATACAATTACAGCATTGCTAGGAATAATATCATGTGGAACTATTTTTATTGCACTAAGGTAGGGATAAGGGTTAGGGTCATGGTTAGGGCATATATAGCTTCAGTATATCTTGCCTGCGCTTCAAGAAGTACCAGGATGGGCAATTGCAAGATTTTGAACTTGGATCTAGATATTGAATGTCTTCTTTGGTCTCTGTTGTATATAGATAATTTATGTCTTGTTTCTTCTTTGGACTATGTTGGATCTAGATATTGAAACTCTTGGCTTATTTGCAGTGGCGTAGCTAGGATTTTTGGGCCCCTATGCAAAAAGTGTTAGTGGGCCCCTCAGAGGCGTAGCGACCCTTCCTGGCGACCGGGGTCAAACTTTTGATTTGCAACCCCCCTCAGACTTTTGATTTGCACCCCCCCCCCTCAGACTTTCGATTAGCACCACCCCCCACCCCCCTCAAACTTTCGAAAAAGGGCCCCTATTTGCCTTGGGCCCTATGCCTTGCTTACGCTAGCTTTACGGTAGCTTTGCCACTGCTTATTTGGTCTCTATTGTGTATATAATTGGTCTCTGCTGGATCTAGATAGTACATGTTGTCTTTGGTCTCTTCTTTTGTGGGGCAAATGCAGGCTGTAATTTAAAGAAAAAAGTCTTGGACCTCACTAAATCTATCTTGCAGTGTGCTACAGTTCTATTGGGTCAGTGTTTTCTTAGACCCCTTTTAAAAGATTTCTTGCATTACCAAGTTCCCAGTTTGTGAAAGTATGTGTCACCTGTAGAATCCAGCCTATGATAATTTGTCACATGAGCAATATCTGTCTGATATGTCCTATTGTTCTACACCTTATCTCACCCCTCCCCACATCAACATCCCCCCCCCCCCCCAGTATTGCCTCCACTTGATGTAATCTTAACAGCTTATTACAAGCTCGTATCATGGCTGGCTGTTATCACTGGTATTATTGGCCCACATTACACTCAGCTGTGCTGGGTTAGAAACCTGGTGCTTTTAGCTTTTGGCGTATGGAGGGCCTGGGGTGTTCTGTGGGGGGGGGGGGGTGTCTAGGGGTTAGGTGGGAGGTTTGTGTGGCTATGGGGCGGTGTTTGTGTGGCTATGGGGTGGTGTTGGTCTGTGTGGCTGTGTGGTGGTGTTGGTCTGTGTGGCTATGTGGTGGTGGTCTGTGTGGCTATGGGGTGGTATTGGTCTGTGTGGCTATAGGGTGGTGTTGGTCTGTGTGGCTATGGGGTGGTGTTGGTCTGTGTGGCTATAGGGTGTTGGTCTGTGTGGCTATGGGGTGGTGTTGGTCTGTGTGGCTATGGGGTGGTGTTGGTCTGTGTGGCTATAGGGTGTTGGTCTGTGTGGCTATGGGGTGGTGTTGGTCTGTGTGGCTATGGGCTGGTGTTGGTCTGTGTGGCTATGGTGTGGTGTTTATGTGGCTATGGGGTGGTGTTGGTCTGTGTGGCTATGGGGTGGTGTTGGTCTGTGTGGCTATGGGGTGGTGTGTGTCTGTGTAGCAGAGGGTGGGTGTCTATATACAAGACGCGGTCTGTATTTTATGGCGTGTGTGTGCCTGTGTGTGTGTGTGTGGTTGGAGGGTCGTCACTGTTTATATATAAACAGGAGATGGGGTCTGGTGACAGGAGATGGGGTTTGGTGACAGGAGATGGGGTCTGGTGACAGGAGATGGGGTTTGGTGACAGTGTCAAGAGGTGGGGTTTGGTGACAGGAGATGGGGTTTGGTGACAGGAGATGGGGTTTGGTGACAGGAGATGGGGTTTGGTGACAGGAGATGGGGTTTGGTGACAGGAGATGGGGTTTGGTGACAGTGTCAAGAGGTGGGGTTTGGTGACAGGAGATGGGGTTTGGTGACAGGAGATGGGGTTTGGTGACAGTGTCAGGAGATGGGGTTTGGTGACAGGAGATGGGGTTTGTTGACAGGAGATGGGGTTTGGTGACAGGAGATGGGGTTTGTTGACAGGAGATGGGGTTTGGTGACAGGAGATGGGGTTTGGTGACAGGAGATGGAGTTTGGTGACAGGAGATGGGGTTTGGTGACAGTGTCAGGAGATGGGGTTTGGTGACAGTGTCAGGAGATGGGATTTGGTGACAGTGACAGGAGATGGGATTTGGTGACAGTGACAGGAGATAGGGTTTGGTGACAGTGTCAAAGTTCTACTAATTGTAGGGCCAGAGTTACTGCTGCAAATACCTACAGCCTGATGAAATACAGTATTGTGCTGATTACAAGGATTTTCCTAACACCCACACATAGCTGCGGTTGAACGACGTGAAGTGGTTCACAACAACAGTGGTTTACGTCACGTGCCTCGGTCACCCAACCTACCAGCAAAGGTTATGTATGATTGGGGGGGATAGGGCCCACATATACAACTTGTATGAATGGGTACGGTCTGTTATAGTTTAACATCAGCTGTAATGTACAAGCACACCTACTGCAAGTAATAGATGTGTTCTGGTTGTAAAGATCGGTTTCTCCAATTGAAAAGGTTGAGAGAAAATACATTTCGTTACGTGTCTTTAAAAAAAAACCTACACTTTAATTCAGTGGTATCAATGTAGAGGGGTTTTAAAGCTTATCACTAAGGTCAAGGCTGGTGACCCCATTCATGACAATATTGGCGGGAATTTTTTTATTATTAAGGACGTCACTACTTGAGCTTTAGCTCCTTTCAGACTTTTAAAAATGGCGACTTTTTTTTTTTTTATCTTGACTTTATATGCACAGGTCGAGCCGTCTTTACAGCGTCGGCTTATGGGTTGTTGACAGAGCCGGTTGCCGGTTCACATAACTGGAAACCGGTTGGCGGGGTCGTCTGACTGTCGACGAGGCCGGGTGTCTGGTCACAGGTTGGCGTATGCTGACCTGTTGACTAGACAGGCTACCGGCTGTAGGGAGCTGTAGCGAGACCGGCTGTAGGGAGCTGTAGCGAGACCGGTTGTAGGGAGCTGTAGCGAGACCGGCTGTAGGGAGCTGTAGCGAGACCGGCTGTAGGGAGCTGTAGCGAGACCGGCTGTAGGGAGCTGTAGCGAGACCGGTTGTAGGGAGCTGTATCGAGACCGACTGTAGGGAGCTGTAGCGAGACCGGCTGTAGGGAGCTGTAGCGAGACCGGCTGTAGGGAGCTGTAGCGAGACCGGCTGTAGGGGGCTGTAGCGACACCGGCTGTAGGGAGCTGTAGTGAGACCGGCTCGCTGTTAGCCTTCTAAGGACACTGTTAACCTTTACCAGACACCCGTTAAGGGCCCCCTCGACCGAATACCCGACCCCTATTAACATATTACCTGACCGGTTAAGTATGTCCATCTAACGACAACGGTTGTTGTTTTTACATAAATCTTTGATTTATAATTTATAATGATAACTTTACATTATAATTGTAATCAAGTGTTAATTCATATATTTTTATAATGTTATGTACAGCATATTTGTAATCATAATTTAAATTTAAAGCATAATTGGACTTATATCTAAGTGTACATCATATCTTTAATTTATGTAAATGTGCACTGCACACCATTTATCTTATACCTGGTGCGATGTTGAAATCGTTGTTGTAACATTACAAGTTTGACAGTTCACTCGTTTTTACAATCAGAGTTACACGCCCTTGGGGTGCATCGTTTAATGAACGTCTTCTAATCATCTCTAATGACAAGCTGTTTTCTTCAATGTCGGCTTAACAACCCCAACTAATTAACGGCATAATTATCGTCTGTAATCAGATCCGAGTTGTCAGAATATAACATCGATGTATATCAACATCCCTGTATCATCATCACATTGATGTATGTCAACATCCCTGT